TTTTGGGACCCCTCCCCAATTTCCGGGCCCTCTCACCTGTTTTGGGGGGGGGTCTCCCCCGCAGGAGCCCCCCCAGCCAGGCCGCCCCCCCCCGCAGCCCCCTGAGGAGCAGCCCCTCCCCCTCGGCCGGGCGGGGGGGGGGAGGGCAGCGCGGCCCCTCCCCCAGCGTGCCTGGACAGGGGGGAAAGGGGGAGAAATTGAGCCGAAATCGGCAAAAATCAGCCCAAAATTGACCCAGAATTAACCCAGAATCAGCACAAAATTAGCACAAAATTACCCCAAAATTGTCCCAGAATTATCCCAAAATTAGCCCTAAAATCAGCACGAAATTACCCCAAAATCAGCCCCAAAATCAGCACAAAATCAGCCCAAAATTGACCCAGAATTAACCCAGAATCAGCACAAAATTAGCACAAAATTACCCCAAAATTGTCCCAGAATTATCCCAAAAATCAGCTCCAAAATCAGCCCAAAATGATCCCAGAATTGTCCCAGAATTATCCCCAAATCAGCCCAAAATGATCCCAAAATTGTCCAAGAATTATCCCAAAATCAGCACGAAATCAGCCCAAAATTGTCCCAGAATTATCCCAAAAATCAACCCAAAAATCAGCCCAAAATAATCCCAAAATTGTCCCAGAATTATCCCAGAAATCAACCCAAAAATCAGCCCCAAATTTTCCCAAATCAGCCCAAAATTAGAACAAAATCAGCACAAAATTGTCCCAAAATTAGCCCAAAATTAGTCCAAAATGATCTCAAAATCAGCCCAAAATTGTCCCAAAATCAGCTCATAAAACATCCCCCAAATCATCCCAAAATTATGCCAAAATCACCAAAAATCAGCCCAAAATCAGAACAAAATCATCCCAGAATTATCCCAAAATCAGCCAAAAATAGTCCAAAATTAGCCCAAAGTTATATCCCCGAATCAGCCCAAAATTGTCCCAAAATCAACCCAAAATTGTCCCAGAATTATAGCCAAAATCAGTCCAAAATGATCCCAAAATTAGTACAAAATTAACCCAGAATTATCCCAAAATCAGCCCCAAAATCAGCACAAAATTGCCCTAAAATCAGCCCAAAATCAGCACAAAATTAACCCAGAATTATCCCAAAATCAGCCCCAAAATCAGCACAAAATTGTCCCAAAATCAGCACAAAATTAACCCAGAATTATCCCAAAATCAGCCCCAAAATCAGCACAAAATTGTCCCAAAATCAGCCCAAAATTAACCCAGAATTATCCCAAAATCAGCCCCAAAATCAGCATGAAATTAACCCAGAATTATCCCAAAATCAGCCCCAAAATGATCCCAGAATTATCCCAAAAACAGCCCAAAATCAGCACGAAATTAACCCAGAATTATCCCAAAATCAGCACAAAATTGTCCCAAAATCAGCACGAAATTAACCCAGAATTATCCCAAAATCAGCCCCAAAACCAGCACAAAATTGTCCCAGAATTATCCCAAGATCAGCCCAAAATGATCCCAGAATTATCCCAAAATCAGCCCAAAAACCATCCCAAAAATATCCCAAAATCAGCCCCAAAAAGCCCCAAATCCCAATATCCAAAAAACCCCAAATCCCCCCAATGTCCCCAATGTCCCCAATCCCATTTCCCCCAATTTTCCCCCATTTTTCTCCATTTTCCCCCATTTTGTCCCCATTTTCTCTCAATGTC